TGATTTTAATCCGTGCGATTAGTTAACCAGGCTAGACCTGAGTTCTCACAAGAAACACCGACCATAATAATAATAATAATACAGTTAAAAAACACATAACTCATTCTTCACAGAAACACACCACGTTATCACAACCCACTCGTACTCAACCCAAACGCAAAAACCTAAACAGCACTACTAGCTCACAAAATACAGTAATACCTCCACCAATAAACCCAAGCAATAACACAAATACAACCTCAAGAACAAAGAAACACCATAAATACAAGTAAGGCAACATGTACCACAAAGACAGGTCCACCCAATAAAGTTACACGTCCTAGCACAGTAAAAAAACACAAAACTCCATCCTCACCGAAGAACACCACGTTATCACAACCCACTCGTATTCAACCCAAACGCAAAGCCAAAGAAACACTTACACAATAAACTCCATTTAATAAAATTACAGGAATTATTATAATGATTTTGTTTGTTTGTTTTGTTTTCCTCTTTCCTGATAGCGTTGGCTTACTGTGCCCATGTGTGATTTTTTTTTTTTTTTTTTTTTTTTTTTTTTTATTTTATTTTTTTTAGGACCCTACATAACTTCACCAGACACAGACACAGACACTCTCGCAGATCGTTACTTGATTTTAATCCGTGCGATTAGTTAACCAGGCTAGACCTGAGTTCTCACAAGAAACACCGACCATAATAATAATAATAAATAAGACTACGAAGAGGACAACGACCACCTGAAGAGGACCGCCATGAAGAGACCTTTGTGCCTGCTTCTCAACCGCTTGTGGATGGGACCAGCGCAAAGGATACCTCCAAAAGACGTATGAAATGGGACGAAGGGATGAATCGCTTCATTTTCGGTACGTATCTGGAGATCACGAAGATGGAAACGGACAGGACAGCATACAGAGGTAAACTATATCACGCGTTCATTACACAATACCCACATTTAGCACACTTGACAGAACAACGCATTGCAGACCAACGTAGAGTTATCCTTAAAAATACACTCCTTACATTAGACACACAGGAACAAATCAGGCACGAAATTGAAGCACTACTCAACACAAACAACACACTCATCGTACAAGATAATACACCCGTTCTAAACAACACTGAAATACAGATATTTGCGACATCCCAGCAATCGATAGATACAAATAATCACATAAACCAAACACTCACATCCCTTCAAAAAGAATTTGACAATGCATTGTTAGAATTCTCAAACACTGACCCAACACAAAGAGCACGAATACCTAAACAAAGTCACACTACAAAATTACGCACACTCTCAAAAACACTAAATGATCACATTTTACCAAATTACATTAACGATAACACAAGCTTACATCAACTACACTTTGTTGTGTATTGCGGTGCGGTTGCAGTTTCTAGATGTAACGGTTCAAGAATAACAACAAACAAAGAACACCACACAACAAAAAAGCGCTCACCCCCGGCTTGGGAAAAACGCCTGATTAATCGCATCGATGACATCAGACGTGACTTGGGTCGAATTACACAATACATACAAGGAACTCGTTCTTCAAAATTAACACGCAAGTACAACACATAACTACAAAACTAAACAATCACACCACACGAGAACAAAATACAAACTATAACGAACATAGAGATACACTCACACAAAAACTATCAATATACACAAACCGTTTAAAACGATATAGGGAAACTGCAGACAGAAAGCGCCATAACACACAATTTAAACATAACGAAAAACTATTTTACAGATCACTAACACAAAACAGCACTAATGAAAAACTCATTCCACCA